AATTGTAGTAAGGTTATAATCGTTCAAAAAATAATTATCATTTGATGTGATATTTAATATATTGTAGATTATAGATATACATTCCCTAGTGAGCTTTGGCTTTTCTAGGTTACAAAGAGGCAATTGGACAACCATTTTTCTCATCACTGACATCCCCATAAGATGAATTTTATTTGATGAAGAAGATCGAAAATGGAAGTTATAACTTTCTATAGGAACTTTAGCCGTCAAAGTCTTTTCGAAATAATGTTGTCGTTTATATTGTTAACAACGCTTTCTTCAAGTACTATCTCAATGTATTTTCTTCAAGTCTCGAGTTATAACGACATTTTCATGAGAAAAATTAAGAAGGCAAATAAATGGTCCTTCTACATTAGAGGGGAAATGACAAAATATTGAATTTTATTCAAGTCTAAAACTCGTTAAGAGTTCTAATTGAACTCAAATCTTAGGGAGGTATATTTAATGAATAATGATATGTAACTCTCATTGGGGGTTATAATCACAGTTTATGAGATGTCAAATGATAAGACAAATGAAAAGTGGAATTAAACGACCAATTTAATTTCACTTATCATTTAATGTAACATTAGTACCTCATAGATTGAGGTTATAATTCCAGCGGACTAAATATCATTACTCATATTTAACTGAGACTTTCAAAAACTTTTACAGACTTCTTTTAAGTAGTGGACTTTTATGAAATCAATGGAATTTTTTATATTCGTATGAAATTAATGAAAGTTTTCGTAAACTTCTATATAATTTTTTATAGAATTCATAAGCCTTTTAAAAAATTTCATTTAAAATAGAATTCATGTGAATCTAATGTGACAATGTAAAATCTCACATAGGAGGTGGTGGTTCAATCCCCACCATCTCTTTTCCCATCCCCATGTTAATAAAGAATATTTTTAAAAGAATAAATTTTTTAAATCGCCTTAATTAATAAGAAATAATCACAATATAAAATATTACAAATTTCAATATTATAATTTAAAAAGAAAAAAAATTACTATAATTTAATTACAAATTATTCTTTTCAAATCTTATAAAAATTAATTACAAATTGAGCTTTTTAAACAAAAATGGATGAGAAAAAAAGAAAAAAATGTTATAATTTTTTTTCTAATTAACAATTATTCTTTACCTAGAAAATGGACATAAACAATAGAAAAGAGAGAGGAAAAAAAAAAGGTGAACAAATATAAATAATTTTTTACTTACGACTATTCGATAATACCCTCAACCCACGAACCCAAAACACCCCCAAATTCATGGGACTAGATCTTCTGTGTACCAAGAAAGCCTCAAGCGGGCCTCGTATCACTTCAAAACTAGAGGTTTCACTCACAGGGAATGAACAAGAAGAAGAATCCTTACATAGAAGAGAAAGAGACTCATGCTGCATTTAACAATATGGTATGCACTAGGCAGATTTGGCCTATGTTGTGAGTATCCTTAGTAGATTTATGTCAAATTCAGGTCCTACCCATTGAGAACAACATCAAAATCACACGTCTAATTATTTATCAATTACATAAATATTACATCATTAATTATTTAATTAACCAAAAAAATTACATCTTTATTAATAACAAATTAATTCTTAAACAAAACTATTAAATATAAA